ATCTAGCTTCAGCATCTTTGACCACTGGCACCACTCAGCCTAAAGTTCCCACTCACTACTTTGAGGAAAGTAACATTAGCAGTTGGAAATATGAAGCTTTGTCCTGAACCAAAAGAAACTAATGCAAGAGAATGAGACAGAAAGAGTGTTTCTTCAGAAGACCCACGTCAACTATTCTTTGTGAGTGAGCGATTGGAACTCTCACTTCCTCATCTTAAATGAAAGTGGGCTGGGCATGGTGGCTCATGCCTTTAACACCAGCACTTTGGGAGGCAAGGTGGGAGGATCACTTGAGCTCGGGTGTTCAAGACCAGCTTGGGCAACACAGAAAGACCTCATCGCTTCTAACAAAAATAACAATTGGCCAGGAGTGGTGGCTCTGCCTGTAATTCCAGCACTTAGGGAGACCTAAGGGAGTGGATCACGAGGTCAGGAGATCAAGACCATCCTGGCTAACGTGGTGAAACCCTGTCTCTACTAAAAATACAAAAAATCATTCAGGCATGGTGATGTGTGCCTGTAATCCCAGCTAGTCGGGAGGCTGAGGCAGGAGAATCGCTTGAACGCGGGAGGCAGAGATTGCAGTGAGCTGAGATCGCTCCATTGCACTCCAGCCTGGGCGACAGAGTGAGACTCTGTTTCAAAACAAAACAAAAAACAATTATCCAGGTATGGTGGCACATGTCTGTAGTCTCAGCTACTTGGGAGGCTGAGATGAGAGGATCACTTGACCCTGGGAGGTGGAGGCTGCTGTGAGTCATGTTTGTGCCACTGCACTGCAGGCTGGGTAACAAAGGGAGACCCTGTCTCAAAAAACAAACAAAAACTCCAGTCTGGGAAACAGAGTGAGACCTTGTCTCAAACAAACAAACCAATAAACGAAAAAGCAAAATGAAAGTGAAATGCTGTTTCTGGGTTTGTGCATGTTGATGAGAATGTGGGTTTTTGTTTTCTTACTGAGAGCAAAAAAGCAAATGTGGCATTAAACATGGAGGAAATCATTGCTTGCCTCTCAGCTATCCTAACACTGGAACATGTTAGAATTTCTGGGAATCTGTGGCAGGGCAGAATTCCATCTGATTAAAATGGAATGGACAAGGCCAGCTGACATCTCAAAGTGCTGTCTGAGCAGCTGAGCTTCCAAAGACTAATTGCTAAAAAGACGAGGTCGAGTTACTGTATCCAAAATAGCTGGCTCTTCCTAATTGGGCTGTGGTTAAGAAAAGGCCTCCTGCAGCTTTGCTCAGTTGGCAGGCAGACAGTTTCCCATGATTCCAGCTTAGCACCAGTTAGAAAATTATAGGGGGAAAAAAGTCCCTAACAGTAAGATTGCCAAGTAAATCTGGAGTTTCCTTCTGGTAATGGTTTTGATTTTTCACAACCTAAGAGGGAATCTACAAGTTGCCCTTTGTCAGCCCCTTCCTTTGTAGCCCCCATCTCCATACGATTGTGGGGCAGTTAACTAGTGGGGCTGTAAGGTTTCATTCCCATTAGTCAAGCTCATCATAGAATAAATAACCAATTGATTTACGGTGACCTGGATCCCGATTAGAGTCTGGAACATTCCTTTTTTCCTTCTTTCTCCCTTTTTTGGGGGGATCACAGGTAATATGTGATCTCTCTTAATAGCACAGGATCACTGTAGCAGAAACAGACTCTAAATGAGGCGCTTAGAAGACTGGTCTTTGTTTTGAGTCTGTTGCCAATAGGAGTTAAAGAGTCTCTGGTCCTCTCGGCCATTCATCTCCCCACCTGTAAAACGAGAGGCCTGTACAAGGCATCTCACAGGACAGGGATTTAACGAATATGGTTCTCTGGTTGATACCGTGTTTGGACCTCAGAGTGTGGAGTGGGAGGGGCGTGGTTTCAGCATAAGAGACTAGGGAGTGGGGAATGGAGTTCATGGCAGGGCACCAGAGAAATAAAACAAGGACACTCGAGGAATGGAGGGAAGCTGCTGCTGCCTTCCTGTTTAGTGGCAATTGTCAGCCTGCTGAGGCCAAGGTGCCCTACTGCTCCAAGAAGCACTGCCCAAGATTTCTGAAGGACATGGCAGCCTGCCCTTCCCTTCACCCACAGCAAGTCACCCTTTATTCCTCTCGCAGCTCCAGCAATGTCTCTCATATCCAGAGGACCCTGAATATTTTACCAGCCAGACCAAGGTGTTCTGTTTCTAAATCAAATCATCACTGTCTTTTTACAACTTTGCATTAAATGATAGGTAAAAACTAAAACTTTTAACAACTGTTTCTTCTATATTTGTGGATCCTGCTATTTCTCTATATAAAAATCAAATATAAGCTGATTTAGCACAAAATACATGAAATTGTTGTTGTTATTATTATTATTTTGAGACAGGCTCTCACTTTGTCACCCAGGCTGGGGTGCAGTGACACGAACACAGCTCACTGCAGCCCCAGCCTCCCAGGCTCAAGCGATCCTGCCACTTCAGCCTCTTGAGTAGCTGGGACTACAGGTGCACACCACCACACCCGGCTTATTTTTGTATTTTTTTGTAGAGATGGCGTTTTGCCATGTTGCCCAGGATGCTCTCAAACTCCTGAGCTCTCTCAAAGTGAGACTCTATCTTAAAAGAAAAAATACTATGAAAATCTTTCTAATAATTTCAGAGTCACTGGCCTATGGCATATCTGTGAATTTTCTCCTTGTCCAGCCTTGTGACATGTGGGATCGTGTGCATGTGCTCATTACCTGGGGGAAGTGGGCCGGTTCTGTTATATGTAGAGATGGCTCCACATATGGCAATCCTTCCAAATTTCTTCATCTGGTCGATAACAGTGTTTGAAAACTCTCCACCTACCTAAACAGACAGGAAACACAAAACCAAAGGCAAAACGTTAAATCGTCTAAATACTAGAGATTCAGGAAAATCATTAAGTCACAATCATTATTTTATGATACCTGTTTTCGCAGCAACAAAACTGATTGAATGAGCCCAACTGTGCAGAAGATTGCAATGAGAAAAAGACATTAGAAACAGGCATTTTCGGCCAGGCGTGGTGGCTCACACCTGTAATCCCAACACTTTGGCGGGTGGATCGCCTGAGGCGGGTGGATCGCCTGAGATCAGGAGTTCAAGACCAGCCTGGCCAACATGGTAAAACCCTGTCTCTACTAAAGATACAAAAAATTAGAAGGGCATGGTTGCGGGCCGCCCTTAATCCCAGCTACTTGGAAGGCTGAGGCAGGAGAATTGCTTGAACTTGGGAGGCAGAGGTTGCAGTGAGCTGAGATCACACTACTGTACTCCAGCCTGGGCAACAGAGCAAGACTCCATCTCAAGAAATAAAGAAAAAATAAATAAACCAGCATTTTCATTTGACTCTAAGGCCGTACCATTTATATCTTATATATTTTACTTTATTATATATTGAAGTTCTCTGATCAGTCCAATAACCTCATTGTCTTATAATTTAAAGGTATGTAAAAATACTCAAAAGGTGTATAAAGAACAAAGTTGGAAGACTGGCACTTTTCAGTTTCAAAACTTAATACAAGGCTAAATTAATTAAGATAGGGTGGGAATGGAAATACAGATCAATGGAACTGAATCACGAGTCCAAAAATGAACCCTTACATTTTGATCAATTGGTTTTCTAGAGAAGTGCTAAAGCAGTTCAATAGAGGAAAAATAGTCCTTTCAACAAACGGTGCTGAACAACTGGATTTCCACATGGAAAATAATGCAATTGGGCCTCTTCCTTATACTACACACAAAAATTAACTTACACTGCAGGGTAGTTCAAGAGGCTCTGGTTCTGGGAAGAGTTGGATGGGGTATGAATCTCAACTCTGGGGGTATTAGCTAGTGGGGTGGCCACAGGCCTTTTGTCTTTCATAAAATAAAACCATAAAATAAAATTGAACCTCCTTTTGTCTTGCATAAAATAAAAGCTACTAGGATGAGTTGTTTTAAGATTTTAAGATTATAGTCACCATGCGATATCTACATACATGTACATATTTCCCCTGGAAGCAATGGTTCAGCCTTGGTGGTGACCTTATAGAATAAAAATATTGCGAATAATGAAAATCCACTGAATCTAATAAAGGACTTGTATTGGTAAGATGTACAGAACTCTTGGCCAGGCACGGTGGCTCATGCCTGTAATCCCAGCACTTTAGGAGGCCAAGGCAGGTGGATCACCTGAGGTCAGGAGTTCGAGACCAGCCTGGCTAACATGACGAAACTCCATCTCTACTGAAAATACAAAAATGAGCCAGGCGTGGTGGTGCATGCCTCTAATCCCAGCTACTCGGAAGGCTGAGGCAGGAGAATCACTTGAACCCAGGAGGCAGAGGTTGCAGAGAGCCAATATTGCGCCACTGCACTCCAGCCTGGGTGACAGAGCAAAAATCTTTGTGTCAAAAAACAAAAAAAAAACAAAACCCTTACAACCTTACAAATAACCTAACTGAAAAATGGGCAAAGATTTTGAACAGACATTTCTCCAAAGAAGATATACAAATGGCAAATACATACATTGAAAAATTCTTAATATTGTTAGCCATAGGTAAACGCAAGTCAAAATCAAATCACAATGAAATATCACTTTGAACCCACTAGGATGGTTATAATAAAAAAGACAGACAATAGCAAGTGTTGGTGAGTATGCAGAGGAATTGGAACCCTCATACACTGCTGGTGGGAATGTAAAGCAGTGTAGCCACTTTGCAAAACAGTTTGACAGCTCCTCAAAATGTTAAACATGAAGTTATCATATGACCCAGCAATTTTACTCATAGGTATATACTTAAAAGAAACGAAAACATCCACACAAAAACCTCTGCATGAATTTTCATAGTAACATTATACATCCTAGCCAGAAAGTATAAGCTGATACCCATCAGGCTGGGTGTGGTGGCTCACGCCTGTAATCCCAGCACTTTCGGAGGCTGAGGTGGGAGGATCCCTTGAGCCCAGGAGTTCCAGACCAGCCTGGGCAACATGGCAAAA